AGACAGGATTGATCAACGCCCAAAGACTTCACTCTTTCATGCTCCGTCACTTTAAAGCTAACTGAATGAATATCCACGTGCGGGCTTCCATAAACCTCGTCATGACCTTCCCACGGTGGTCTTGATGAAGAGAAAACCTAGCTGACACTGGTCCCACTGCCGGTTGCTAGAGTATCCACGAAGCTGCGGTGCGCGGCTTCGTTAGGGTTACGTGTGTACCCTGAAGGGTCTCGGACTTTAGTAAGGTTATCGAGAAGTTTAATCGATATCCACGAACTACTTTTTTGATCCATTTTAGGCTCAGAAGAAGGCGAAACGAAAATAATAAAGTTTTAATAAAAATCTCGGGAGAGCCCAAAGCATAAACTACATCAAGCCACAGTCATGCCGAGGTTTATAGTAGCTCGTACATGAAAACCTACTTTGAACCTTTCAATCGAAGAAAGATTTGAAAAAGGGCATTATCGAATTGCTATTCAGATAGGAGCATATGTTGGCCAAAAGGCGATAGTATTTCATATAATACCAAGTGGAAAGAATACGGTATTTGGGTATTGTTCAATCCCGGTGCGCCAGGCGTTTGACTTCCATTCATAATTGCATTAAGGTATGGAATGCGTTCGTGATTTATATTATGCGTTGCTATGGCCAGCCGATGTACAAGACAGTGCTTTCACATTTCCGAATGATTCTTTTACCAATTAGCCGAACCCGTAGGGATGCAAGGGTTCATTGGCCTAGCGGGATATCGAACCGGGATATGAACGCGTGACGTGTGAGATAGTACGCCACATGGCACTACACCACCTCGACAGTCAAGTTTTCACATTAGCAACCATTTGAACTCATTGATATGAGCTTATTCGACATTATTCTTCGACATCCTGGATCCATATGTACGACTGGATTGCATCGAAGTACTAGGTAATTTGCTCGAGACCGTTTTTTAAGTTCCTTCAGTGAAGAAATTCCCCATGATTTGCTGTTAGTCATCGTAATCCTTCCAATGTTGTTCCCTTATTCCCTATTTATTAGGTTGATGACTTTATCGATCTCATTGCACGGTATATCGACTTCCATTGCTACCAATTCTCTTCGCAGAAGGAGGATAAAGTTTTTGGCGTTAACAATCCGTTCTGGTGATTCGTCCCGCATTCCACTGACATTCAGAATTGTAACGATATTGTACACCTTCTCCAAGGTCCCCTCCTTTTGAGTTTCGTAGGCGAAGTGCAATTTCATCGGCTCCATCGAACACGAAGCTATACCATACAGTCACGCCCGTCTTTGGGTGATCCACATGGACATACCCAACGTAATTACAAGATCTATACTGACATATTTTCTAAAAGTGAGATCGCCAAGAAATCAGGATGATTATCGATTCAGCATCCATTCAAGGCGGATGGAGAGCACGGGATCGGTTGACACACCCACTTTCTGAAGAATGTTACGACCAAATCCCAGATACCTGAGGCAGCAGTACTGTCCCAGATACCTGAAGGACCAGTACTGCCGATCTAATCTCCGGGCAGAAGCGTTCTACGTGTCTGTGCTGGCGATTGAATGTTCCAAGTATGGGGGATCAGATTGACTGCTCACATGATGTAACTGTGCCAGCGAGCAGTCGACTCAAGTTTGAGAGGACTATTGGCGACCTCGCAGAAGCAGCTCCGCCTCATATGAGAAAGGTCCACGATGGATGCAATTTTTATAGCTAGATAAGTGATAGAGAAAAATCGTGAAAAATGAAACTTTGCTGTCCAGCCTTCCTCAATCTAGAGTAAGCGTCCGACCTCAGCAGTCCTTTGGACATCGCTCTGACAGCGAAGAGTCGAGAAGAAGTCAAGGATAAGCCGCAGAAAAGGTAGAAAAAGCTGGCGATACATGGACTTCACCTGCATGTTAAGAAGACCAAGATTGTCAGCTAAGAGGGGGCCCAGAGTCAATCGTGAATCAATCGTCAACCGTCTTGGGGAAGCCATCGACAGCGTGCAGGATTGAGG